ATGTGGCAATGGGATGGGGGTGCTTCCTGATGGAGCTAACAGCTGGGTAGTCCCCAATCCTAGTATTTTTTGCTCCTGGTCTCTTTCTCTCACAACCAAAAGCTGTTTAGGATGAAATGTCAAGTTGCGGGCAAGTCATTTTACCTCAAGTGAATCATTTGGGAAGCTAAAATCCTAGTCCACTGTGCTGTGTTGACTTTGCAAGGAAAAGAAAAGAAAACCCCCAAATGTCAAGTGCTTTGAAGAATGGTGACATGCAAGGAAGAAAATTACATGCACTTTGGAGAGGAAACATTTGTCTAGGGACAAGGCATAAATTCTAGTATCGGCGACATTTCAGCTTAAAAACAGCCTTCCAATTTCTTGGAAGTACAGGTACTCGACCAAAGCTGGGGGTCAATAATACATATGATTCAGTGTAGTCATTATTTTATGAGATTGAAGGCTACAAAGAAACCCAAGAAAAATGGAAATTGCAAAGGTGATCTTCGGCAACATTTACTCAACAGCTACCATGTGCTAGGCATTGTAACAAACACTTTACATTGATTTTATCATTTATTCCTCCCAACATTCCTAAGAGGTAGGTGATATTATGCTCATTTTACTTGTGAGGAAATACACTGAGAGAGGTTAAGTAATTTCCCCAGGGTCACACAGTTAATGTGGCAGAGCTCGGACTCTGGGATCACAGAATGAAAAGAAGCTCTTACTGAGATTCGATGGTGGTGCAGTGGAGAAGGCCTTAGGGACAAGCTCTGACCAAAAAAGATGTGTTGGGATGATTTGGGGATCATCTCATCTTCTGTTGTAGCTAGAACCTTGAGATGCAACCATTGATGTCTACATTAGGATGTTTTTCTACGTCTTGTTAAATCGGTTGGTTAATGTAGCTGGGGCCATGGGTTTGCTCTTGTATGAATAACTTAATTCTTCCCTGTAGTTGGTTATTTTGCTTTGTGACCATGTTATTGGTCACGAAGAAGCAGAATTTGAGAAAGTAGACAGAACTGTGCAAAATTAGACTTGGGAAAAACAACCCAAAGTACGTTGTTGTGATGAAGCTATTACCCAAGGGCTAAGTGTATCTTCAAAAGCTGTATCCACTGGTCCTGGATGAGGAGTAAATCGAGCATCAATTCCTCCCTGCCAACCACCTCCCACAACGCCTTCACTTCCCTCTCTTCCTAACTCCGCATCTCGTATCTACAGCTGCAGGCACGGGAATGTGACACAGAGCTTTGTATCTTTCTGTGCACGGGCAAAAGCTGGCTGTGAAGTTAGAGGCTGGCATTTAAAAGACTGATAGTTATGCCTGATCGTAGTCATTATCATTAACCAAAATATAGGCTGTAGGTGGAATAAAGTGCAGGTTTCTCATCAGCCATTTCGGTCACTCAGTGTGATCTGCCAGCATCTTTGAAAACAAAGGACAGTAGAAACCGTATGTATCAAGCTAGGAGTTCAGTTGGGGCCAGCCCTTGAACTGCACGTGTAGAATAGGGACCTGTCTGACTCTCCAGAGATTGTCCTTGCTGCTTTGTGTTGCTCACTTCCTGTTGAATCAGGATGATTTTTCCTGTCCCTTGGTTTCTCTTTAGGCACCTCCAAGGTAGTGATGGCGCTCCAGAAGACCCATTCATTGCTGCTGCTCGTGCTGCTGACCCTGCTGGGGCTTGGGCTGGTGCAGCCTTCCTACGGGCAGAGTTACATGTACCAACGATTCCTGCGGCAACACGTGGACCCTGCTGGGAAAGGTGGCAGTGATAGCTACTGCAACGTGATGATGCAAAGACGGAAGATGACTTCATATCAGTGCAAGTACTTCAACACGTTCATTCATGAAGACATTTGGAAGATTCAGAGCATCTGTAGCACCACGAGCATTCAGTGCAAGAATGGCAAGATGAACTGCCACGAGGGGGTAGTGAAGGTCACAGACTGCAGGGAGACAGGAAGTTCCAGGGCTCCCAACTGCAGGTACCGGGCCACAGCCAGCACGAGACG